TGTCAAACTCCTTGACTTGCGTCACAATGAGAGCCCAGCCAACATCGGAAGCGTCGGTAAACAGGCACGTAGTAGCAGCTTCGTCAGGAGGTTGAGTGTCACTGCGGAGGCCAGCATTTTTTTTCACAGTATTGAAAGCAAATTACTCCTCCGTGGAGAGCTTGATCGCAATACCGGCTGCGGCTCGCTTAGTACGCCGTGTCTTGGACAGGACTGCGTCGGGCTTCCGTTGGCGTGGAGCAACTTGACGGGCGCAGTCTACCAGACTTCCACGCATCCAATTGATAGCGCACACAAATTGCCGCAGCTCTTCAGTCGTAACAGGATAAGGCATAGATCGGAGAGAATCTAGGCGATTAGGATCGTGTCGGACACCGTCCGCGCATATAATTATACCACACCGCTTAACTTCACGCTGATAGAGGCTGTATTTCTTTGAACTGCGTTTCAGGCCGAAATCATTCAGTAGCGAGAATAGCTCGGCTAGCCTCTCCGAATTCTCGTCAATGTCGTCGGCGTAGAGTAGCAAGTCGTCAATCCACACGATAAGGTGCTTGTAAAGGAGACTAGCAAAGCACTGCTCCATGGTTTTCTGGAAGTAAATGGTTGCATCGCCACAACCTTGGGGGACTCGACGTGGCGTGAAAATTTTCTCGTCAGTCAAATAGGACAGCCACTCCTGGCAAAGCTCGGCTACAGGCAACTGCCAAAATCCTTTGAGGAAATCGAAAAGACCAAAGTGTTCTTTTTCACGTGCATTTTCCATTACCACTGAAAGAATTGGCATCACCGCTGCCATGATGTCCATCATAGCATTGATTACGCGATAGTTAGTCGTCTGCCGCAAATTCATGAGCTCGCTTGACTTTTTGACGGGCACAACGGGTCTAGCCCATCGACTTGTTAGATTCTCGTAGACAAGTCCTAGTTTCACAAGCTCAGCGTTAAATTCTCGTAAAAATTCACGGATATGCGGGGGGTACTTCCGGGGATTACATTTGGATGGTTGAACCCCTTCCTTTAAACGCACTTCCAGCGGCGGAACGCGAGCAGGCGGGTCATCACGAAGTTCCAACCGCCACACATCGTAGGCATATACAATGACACGCAGCTTTTCCACTTTTATCCGCTAGTAATCCAAGCTCCAGAGCTCGTTCGATCAGAATTTCGACTGCAGCACGGACTTCTGCTTCGGTAGCAGGTTTATTCGAATTGACAAGAGGCTCGTCCGCTTCCGAATTGAAAGGGCCACCGCTAGTTATACCATAACGATGGCCAGCAAGCATCTCCAGCTGCCGGTCCACATCGATCCCCAGGGTTCCCAGCAAGTCTCTGTCAATAATGAAATCGTTGTCGCTCGAATTCACGATCAGACACGGCACTGGTTCAGTGGGCTACACAGCGCCTGCTGCCGTGTGGATTAGGATGTGTAGCATGACCTTCTGATTGGCCACCACCGTGTGACCTCCGTAGGTTACACTACGCACCGGGGTATCCAGTGTTTCTGCTTGAACCGTCGAATCGGCAGCGCGTAATAAATACCGATGAGGCTGACTGATCACTGTGTTGTCCGATCCCGTATCTAGGCAACATGGCAGCTCCAAAACGTCATTAATAGTCACAGTGCGGTCCGAAGTTGGCATAAAAACATCAAGTCGCTTCATTCGTGACTTCCGCGCCTTGTTTTGTTGTCACGCAACCTCTCACGGAGCGTCACCTTTTCTTCTTCAGTCGCCTTAGGACGGTCTCTCAGCCAGGGCATGACGTTGCACTTAGGGCATGGAGACGGAGGATCACGCGAAGGCTTTGTAGGTGCAGCGCCTTTGCACACCTTCCTGTCAGTCTTCTTGTAGAGTTTCTTGTTATGCTTCGACTGCAGCCCCCTTTTTCTTCTCCTGAGCACCTTCTATCACATTCGGCTGGGACTGCTTGCCATTCGACCGCTTCTCAGCGGTCTTCGCTTCTTTCATAGTGCGGCCTTGCTGATCAACACGCACCCGCTTGTTCTGTTGGAAATAGAGCTCATGTTCAGCAGCCTTATCAAAGACGAGAGCATATAACTGCACCGCATTCTTATCAGCACCTTTGTTTGTTCAACGAGCCTTCACGTCGGCCATCAGAAACGGGGGGGGCAAGACAGGAGATAAGAAGCATGTAATTTTCCAAGTCGCCATCGGGCCGGAGAAACATTTGTCCAAGCCGTTCTCCTCCACAATCCGAATGACATTTTGGAAGTAAGAGGGAGTCCGTGCATCGACGTCTGTCTCCTTCAAATCCATGTGCAGCTCCAATTTAAAGAGCGCCTTTACGTCCGGTACCATTTTTACCTTAGAGAGAAGGGCCTCTAGCTCAGCGATGAGCATTGCCTCGGTAATATCAGTGACGTCCTTACGGAGGCACAACATGCAGAAAGCCTGCAGGAGCTCAGCATCGAAGCTCTCCTTGATCGGCTGCGTGACTGCATTGTATTCTTCCCCAGAAGTGCGGCGTCTAGCAGCCATATTGGCTTCATATTCGCGACGCTGCTTGCGCCATTTGACAAGGGCTTCGTGTGAGATAGACGTGATCTTGGGAGGTGAACAGTGATACTGAGTATTTGCAGGACTTTTTCTACGTTATCGGATTCCGTGTCGTTGTCAGCGCGGGTTACACGTCGTGTAGACATAGTAGTAGCGGTAGCTCGAGAATTACGAGGATTAGAGTCGACTTGACGCAATTCCACACAGCGCTTCGTAGCACTTTAAGTACTAGTAGTACTAATGAATGCTTTGTACTGGTTTCCGGAGTTTAAACATGGATAACACCGGCAAGGCAGGTGGTGAACCTGCTGAAACGGATAGCCTAGTGTATTCAACTGCTTTTCTGGTTGCTGGTAGAATGTAGACTAAGCGTCAGGAACAACGTGAGGCTGCCCTTCTTTCTCAAGCACATAGCGGTGCAGTTATGAAATGTAAGGTCTCCAGTAAATTCACAAGGCCAACCGGATGCTAGCTAAAAGAACCTGTTATATAAATGACGTGAGGAAACGTCACTGACCAAGATGTAGCCGGCCCGCCTCGTGCACTCCAGGGTCACTACAGATGGTGGAAGCTTAAATGATGTCAGCAATCCACCAAAGTCTCTTGTTATCTTACCGTAAGTTTTTATGCGAGATCAACCGGTATCGAGTGGGCGGACAGTTACACGAAGATGAAGCCTATTCTTACTGGGCACTAACTAAAGCCTAGTGACAAACTGCTGATAGACCTAGTGAGCCTTGAAAACTACTGAAAACCAAGTGTTTGGGGTGGCCGGTGCTGACACACCTAGTGCCGATGTATACCAGGCGAGTTTGATTTATTGGTACCTTAACTTCACATTAATAGCTGTACCCGACCCGGCGTACATTACAACTGCTGGTGGCCACATAAGCTGGTTGCGGTAGAGTGCATATGCTAAAAGCACTGATACACAAAAGCTTTACATGGTCGTCACTAGGTTTTCCGTAGGATTGAGTCTCACTTGGTGGGTAAGTAATTTTTCACTAGGTTTAATATTTTTTTCATTCTTATCTTCTGCAATCAAAATATACCATTTTGTGGTACTGTCTACATGTGGTTTAAAAAATAATTTGCCGACTCCTTTCGAATGGCATCTCTAGTCTTTTGGGGGTCTGTTTGTCAGCCGACTGTATTTTATGCCGTTTCGATCAACAAAGAGACCGGAAAATGTGCAGCTTTGCAAAGTTTGTGGACGTGCGGTTTCCAGGTCGAAGTATGCCAGGAGACGGTTTTTGAAGTGTTAATTGAATATTGGTGACTCATCCGTTTCGATTCTTACTTCCACGTAAATTCCACTTTGTTTGCAGAAATTACCAAACCCAACTTGGGTAATGATTAGAAATCTAAAAAGGGAGCTCGAGGCACCCAAATTTGAAAATTGAGCAGCATGGCCAGGGAATTTACTGAGCAAAGTACTTAAGAAAATAGCTTTCTTTGGGGCTGGTCACAATTTGAAAATTATTTTTGAATGTGTATACAAAATTTATTGTATGCCACCAAATTTCGGTAGCTCTGAGATATCAGCGAACCGGTGCCCCCGACTCAAACTCACTATGCAATTCGCGCCCACCTCAAACTACCAACTCTCACAACCTTAGCCATATTCCAACGCTTCATTGATGCCTTCCCAACGCTCGAGGGGCAAGTTCTCCACGAAGCCATTACGGTAGGAGCACCATCACTTTTTGATGCCGAATTTTTTGGCACAAGTCGCTGGACAAGATATTTATTTGCAGTTTACCGATCTATCATGCATATATCTATTCTGATCAGACGAAGAAATTTATATAAATTATATTTTGAAAATTCCTGAACATGGCACACCAAAATAAAAGCAGAGTTTCCTCTCCAATCTTTCACGGACCAGATCGAAACAATTAGAAGCATCTAATAGACACCAACTACCGGCTGCGGAGGGATTCATCGCTAAGCTTGGTAAAAAGACATAGCGTGCTGGCGAAATCCGAAACGGCAGAGTCCTGTTACGGGCCTAACACTTCGGGAAGGGCCCACGCCACAGTTATCATCGTCCCAAACTCTCCATGGTTTGCGCAGCAGTCATTCGTTGTGCTCAAACTCGTGACAATGTCGCTCACTTTCATGTACTCTTTTGACTTTAGTTCTATCGAATCCCGAATAAATGATATGGTGTACATGTACCTAGGTTCACCGGGACTTCCAGCTTCTATTTTACTTGTGTACAATTTAAGATGCGCGACTAGGTCCAGTAGCCAATGACATCGCGGAAATGTCTCTCTTCAACTTTCACATACGTGTCGCATTATTCATTGGTTAAAATCGCTGTCTTTTTTCCAATCAGCATGCTGCATTCGACCTCGTGGCCCGTCCACATCATATCCTGACACCCTACTGTTCTACATGTACCGAGATTCATTCTTCAATCCGTAGACAACTACACTCCGCCCCCCCCCCTCCCTCGTCCCTCGTAACTCCACCAAGATGGCTCCCAAGATCGCTAAAGACATGACCGAGCTCATCGGCAACACGCCGCGGTAGAATTTTAACGGGGTCGTATACAGGTCAGGCCTGATTATTGGGTCAGGTTCCATTTCCAACAGGATCCTCCTACATAAGAAGAAGAATCGAGCAGTGAAGAAGATGACGAGGCTGTAGACGTCGACAGTGATGATGACAACAAGGGCGTCTCTGGTACTAGCAGCGAAGAGGACGCTGCTGCTACCAATTTGGGCGCAGGTGTGATCAGCAATGACAGTGATGCCGATGAATGCGACACTGAAGCCGACCAACCTCGTGCCGCGCAGACCATCGTGGTCTAAGCATTTTAACCCAACTGCTTAGCTTCATATCTTTCACTTCAATATGTAGCTTAGCAATTGGTCCTGTGTTTGGTAGGGCCGTCAGGAAACCCGCCTGACCCAATTATCAGGCCCTACCCGTAAACGACCCCAAAAATAGCTAACCCACGCCGCTGGTCTACCTGAACCACGTGACCGAAGGTTGTCACGCCAAGATCGCCGTCAAGTGCGAGTTCATGGAGCCCTGTGCGTCTGTGAAGGACCGTATCGGTCTGAGTATGATCCTGGACGCCGAGAAGTCCGGTCGTCTGCACAAGGACTCGCATATCATCGAGCCTACGTCTGGCAATACCGGTATTGGTCTCGCCTTTGCGTGTGCCGTGCGTGGCTACAAACTGACGCTGGTGTTGCCCGATACCATGTCGATGGAGCGTCGTATCCTCCTCAAATCGTTCGGCTGCGACGTGGTCTTGACCCCTGGCGCTAAGGGAATGACTGGAGCGTCGGCTAAAGCCAAGGAATTGGTGGCCAAGGAGCCTGAGAAGGCTCTGATCCTCGGCCAGTTCGACAACCCGGCCAACCCGCAGATCCACTTCGAGACTACCGGTCCGGAGATCTGGCGTGATACCGACGGGGAGATCGATATCTTCATCGCTGGGGTCGGTACTGGTGGTACCTTGACCGGTACTGGTCGGTATCTCAAGCCTAAGAAAGAAAGTATTAAGATCATTGCCGTCGAGCCCGAGGAGAGCCCCGTGCTCTCTGGCGGTAAGTCGGGGCCGCATAAAATCCAAGGCATTGGCGCTGGATTCGTGCCCAATGTCCTGCAAACCGACCTGATAGATGAGGTCGTGACCGCTAACAGTGCCGAGGCGTTTGCTATGTCCAAGCGTCTGGCGTTGGAGGAGGGAATCTTGGTGGGCCCGTCGTCGGGTGCCGCTGTGACGGCTGCGATTAAGGTGGCGTCGCGTCCGGAAAACGCTGGGAAGCTGATTGTTGCCATCTTGCCGAGCTTCGGCGAGCGCTACCTGTCGACTGCGCTGTTTGAGAAGGAGCGCGAGTTCGCTCAGAACCTGCAGACGTCGGATATTGAGGCGTAAAAGTGTATGAACCTCGGAATGTTGGTGTAAATTTTGTGAAAGATCTATGTGGGGTCTTAGGAGAAGTGCACTGTGTTGATAATTCAATACGAGAGTACTTGTCATGGTAGTGTGAGAGCCTGTATCGATTTCCGTTAAGTACGAATCTTACTGGAAACGAGTAAAATCGCCAAGTTTATATTCAAACCAAGTAGTAGGATGGAGGTTCTTGTTTCTGAGTAAAACTTGAATTTTAATCAATATGCTGTGAGGGCCATTTTTCTTATATATTTTCTTGTTAACGCACGCAGGACCCCCAATGCAGCTAAACTACTTTCCCAGCAAGCATATAGCCTTATCTTAGTAGTGCCGATCATTCCAAGGACAAAGGCTCGGTTGACGCTTTCGGCCAGTTCTTGGCACTTCAGCTTTACTACTTGCTCGTTCGAAAGCTTCACACTCCAATTGAAGACGCCTGCCTGCTCGCTCCAAGTTATGATCACACCTGCTCTTGTCTCTAGATCTTCTTCTTCTATCTGTACCTCTCGTAACACGTTCCAATGCAATGGGCGGGCTGGGAACTTCAGGAGAGATATACTAAGTTGTCCATAGAAAAATCCCCCCCAATATATATATATATATATATATATAAATTTAAACCTTTCGCATCGATAAACGGGCAAGAACAACGTCTATGGATAAGTCTTGTTGCAGCATCATTGCAAGAACAGAATGGGCACCCGTTTTCCAGAGCCCAAGACAGTCGCACCGGTATTTTCCTCTGATTCAACGAGCTACATACATCAACTTTACGTTTTTTTCTCGCAAAATAAATAATGAATTGCCTGAACTCCTTCGAAGACAGCGACAACTGGATTGAAATCTGCAAATGGTTGAGATACAGAACCTCTACTCGGTGAAGCGAAAAAAAAAGAGCAATTCGACTTCGTTAGTGTGGGGGTTGGAGCCAGATCATCGCGGACAGAGTTCCAAATCTGTAAAGTCAAAAATTAAGTTCTTCATAACTATACCTAGTGCTTTTTACTTGTTTACACGCTCTCGCGTAACTTCGTTTTCGTGGATGTTCTATCAACGGCAAATTTGGTTGCGTTGAAGAAGATCGCCATGAGGTTTTTTTTTCGGGTCAACCGCAAGTTGTAGAAGTTCTCGCTTGAATTCATGATCCTGCGAGCTTTTGTGACGACTTCTGCAACAAAGGGACCAAAATACTAATATTACTTTGAGAGCGTTGTCTAATAAGTGCACGAATTATACAGTACCTTCACAGAAGTGAGACCGTTGACTGGTGGAAGAGTATGCTTGGTAGTGACTCGTTAAAACGGTAGCTGTGCCCCAAAGCCCCGACACGCACGCATGCTGGATCACTCTGTCATAGGACTTTAGCGCGTTTTGAGACGGTGTAACTCCGGGTACGGCGCACGTTCCGAACCAATTCACCGCAAGTAAACCTCTTTTAGCCACTCAGCATATTTTTTTCTCCTTATTCGCCCAGAATTCCAGAAATAGGAGACTCAAAGCCGAAAATTGCTCACGAGATCTAGCCTCGTCCAAGTACTTGATGTCTGGCCAAATGTTGATACCGAAGAGCTGGTCGTTCTAGAAAAACAAACTTTCGGTACTTAAGTAGCCAAAGATACAAAACCCGTACCTCGACAATTTTGCTCTTACCCCTGTGAGGTGTGGTTAGCAATTAATATCTGACCACACCTTCCTGAATGCGTTCACAATGTAAGATGTCCTGTTGAGACTGCCTTAATTAATAAATGATCGGGCCCCGAGCTTTAGTTTCTGGACCACTCAAGATTTTGGAACAGCAATTGTCAGAAAAATGGTCGAATCCGATGGGCGTTATTCCACTAGAACTAAGTATTTGAGAATCCCCTTAGTAATCTATCCGTAGATGTTACCCAGAATAACATTGTTCCAAAGAGAACTTTAGTTGTTCGAACAACTATAGTTCTCTGGATGAGTTGAACCTGTATCAAGAAAACCACTAGTACTTAGAGCGGTCGACGTCCGGTGTATTCGAAGATTTACACCTCGACGTCCAGAATGGAAACGACGTATAAAATACACTCCTTCGACACCCACTTATGAGTCACTATTTCGAATTAAGGTGCTGCTGTTCAAGGAGACCAACCTCACCAAATGCTGTTCATGCTCTATGGCCGTTTGAAACTTCCAATCCATCTATTAATACGAGCCCTCACAGAACGTCCGATACGCACGTCGCACAACAGCAAGCAGGGATTGGCAGAATCTACAGTGCCCAGAAATCAAATACTGCTCCGCGCTGGTTTCGTGCACACGAGTGCTTCCTGTCATTTTGTGCGGAACAGGTGCACAAGTTTGGAGCCAAATCAATCTGGCTGTACTGAATTGGCGATGAATGGGTCTAAAATGAGCGATGCGCTGGGCGCGGAGTAGATCTTAGTGGCTTGCCAAGATCCATGAGGATCTCCTTAGAAGTGGGAGTCATGCGTATGGTAAATATGGCAGCTAGCAAGCTGAAAAATGGCAGTTTATTACTGGGCTCTCTCGCATAGTTTCGACCAATAACACTACGAGAATCGTTTTGGGTGTCGACGCGACATCCAGTGGAAAAGATCAGACGTCCGGCGTCGTAAAACACGGATTCAATGCTACACTGGTAAAAAGTTCAATTCTAGTATAAATTGCATAGAGGCGTGCGCACTTCTTACACCCGTAAAAACTTGTGTTCACTGCGCACCAACAATCTCACTTCCGCGCCAAAATGACACCCGCCCCCATTGTGCAAATGACACGGCGCCCGAAGAACAAAAACAAGTCCAAGCTGCGAGGGCTTTTACGCCTCGGAGAGGCCAGCTCAGTCGTCGCCTTGGCTGCTGAGCTAGGCGTTCACCGAACGACAATGTACCGGTGGATGCGGCAAACAAATGCCCTTGCCAGTGCCGCACCAAACAAGTACTACGCCTCAGTACCAAGCCGCCAAAACCTCTACGTTAAACACCCGAATCTCGAGCAAAGGTATTATTATTTATGCATTAAATTCCGAATACTAGTAATTGTTCTAAAAGTGTATGATTAAGACTATTGTCGTGGATTACAGAAATGCGCAAAAATCGGTCTCTCTGTGTTTCGATGCAATGTCTGCTTCTAATGCATTCTAGGTTTGATGAAGAGCTCTTTGCGAGTCGTTCCCGCGGTGCAAATATCGAGTTTTTGCGCCGGTTTCTCAAACGTAACAGGCTTTCTATCAGACGCATTACTCATAAAGGCCGCAAGATAAGATCCGACATGGAGGTAATGCTAGTAATATTGTTTATTTTTTTACTTCTATTTCTTATTTTGTGTTTCAGCTTGTTGCTTCAAAGTTTAGTCACTCAATTCAGTACGCAATTGAAGAGTGTGGAGCTCTTTCATATGCCACGGGCCCGTCCAAATACGGCTCTGTATTCAACATGGATCAAACTGCAATTTACATTGACATGAATGGCAAGACAACAATCGACTTCGTTGGAACTCCAACTGTGGACGTCAGACAAGGTATTTTTTCAGTTACTAAAAATATTCAAACTTATTAATATTTTATTAATATTTTATTAACTGTGCGTATTGTAGGAAGTGAGGTGAATGGGTTTCGCTGTTCTGTATTTCTAGCTGCATCAGCCACGGGAGTTAAATTGCCCCCCCCTCGTAGTTCTTGCGGGCATTACAGGCGGCCCGGTGTCACAGGACGTTTGGAATCCGTCCTTTGGACACTCATCATGCGAGCACACTGTTCAAAAGAAAGCGTTTTGCAACGAAGCTGTGATGCAAGAGTGATTTCAACGCGTACGTACAATATCGGTTTATTTTATTGTAATTATGAGTTTCTAAATTTTATGGTACTAGATCTGGAAACCCTCAGTAGATGGCTGTAGGTTACTCCTGTTGGACAGCTTGAAAGTCCACAAGATGAATTCAATTCGTACCGTGCTCGAAGAAGACTGCTGCACGCAGGTTGAGTTTGTTCCGCCGGGGATAACAGGGCTGGCGCAGCCGATGGACGTTGCTGTGATGAAGCCATTCAAGGATTATGTGCGGTAACTTTTCGTTTTGCTTTATTATAAATATATTCTAATTGTTATTAAAATGCAGAAATAGCTACTTGGCTTACCACATTGATCATGAGTTCCCAAAGACCCCACAAGAGAAGCGTCAACTTATTTCGCGCTTTGTAGCAGAAGGGTGGGCTTCAATCCCGCCGACGACGATTCGAAAGGGCTTTGCCAAGAGCGGGATACTACCTACTGGGCCTCGCGATATAGAAGACCGCTTCAGAGTACCAATTTATGCAGAAGAAGAAGCACCGATTTTAGAAGTAGATCATGAAGAATAAAATGGATACACTGAGTAGGAGGGGTGAAACCTTTAAAGATTCGCCTTTTTGTTTTTGCACATCGTGTGATCTGCATTTTTAATCTTTGTTGCACTGGTGTAGCATTGGATCCGTGTTTTACGGTAGTTTCGACCAATAACACTACGAGAATCGTTTTGGGTGTCGACGCGACATCCAGTGGAAAAGATCAGACGTCCGGCGTCGTCGACGCCGAATCGGTACCAAGGGTCGAGACGTCGACAGCTCTACTAGTACTACATGTCTTTTGTAGAGGATGGAAACGAAATCAATCCAAGATGAAGCACTAATAACAAGCTTTACAGTGCTACAAGCGCGTAGGCGCCAACGCCGGCGGCGTATGACAAAAAAGGCTTCTTAGAAAAATATCCTTAGGCGACGGTTTCCCCATGGGTATGACTACCCTGCTGTGGAGCAACCTTCCAAACGGAGGGGGGGGATTAATCACATTTCGCGCGAGTTATTGCGAATCCGAAAATTATATGTACATGTTTACACAAAACCTTGCGCGAGATAAATCGCATTGACTCGCTTGAGTTAGTGTGGGCCTTGCGCCGTTGCCCAATGTGAAAGGAAATTGTCAACTTGTGTCTTGTTAAGAAGATTGAAGAGGTGATGGAATTTTAATAGCTTCTAGCCAGAATGTATGTTTATTCTTATCA